CCCCCCCCCCCCCCCCCCCCCCAAAGTCCTTCAACCAAACAAAAATAATATTTACATGACATCAGGGAGCGAGCCTGAAATGACAAAAGACTGTTGACTCACCTCATTATAAATCCAGCCGAGAGGAAAGCTGCCTTCTCATCGGCGAGGGTTGAAAAATCACAAAAACCCCCCAAACCAACCCAAAAGTCAGGGAAATGAAGAGCTGCTGCCTGGCCCTGTGCAGTTCCTCCGTAATCTGGGTATAAAAAGAGAAGTCTTCATTACTGACCACAGGCACGGAGCTGCTCACGCCCCCTCCGCGCCGCACCAGCCAGTAGCACACACAGAAGTTGGGTTATGGGAGAAGGAGACAAGCTGAGAGGAGACTATCATGATTTATCTGCTGCACCTCTGGTAGGGTATTTAAAAAAAATAAAATAAATTAAAAAAAAAAAAAAGATGTGTGAACTATCCTGAGGTTCCTATGAGTTTCTAATATAGATGTTAATTAATCCAGGATCTTCTGTAAAAAAAATGATAGGAAAAAAGGGATAGAAAAGGAAAAAGGGATAGAAAAAAGGATAGAAAAGGAGCAAAGGGATAGAAAAGGAAAAAAGGATTGAAAAAGGAAAAAAAGGATGGAAAAGGAAAAAAGGATAAAAAGAAAAAAGGGATAAAAAGAAAAAAGGGAGAGAAAAGTTAAAAAGGGATGGAAGAGAAAAAAGGATCAAAAAGGAAAAAAGGATAGAAAAGGAGCAAAGGGATAGAAAAGGGATAGAAAAGGAAAAAGGGATAGAAAAAAGGATAGAAAAGGAGCAAAGGGATAGAAAAGGGATAGAAAAGGAAAAAGGGATAGAAAAAAGGATAGAAAAGGAGCAAAGGGGTAGAAAAGAAAAAGGATAGAAAAGAAAAAAGGGGTAAAAAAAAGAAAAAAGGGAGAGAAAGGGAAAAAGGGAGAGAAAAGGAAAAAAGGGAGAGAAAAGGAAAAAAGGGAGAGAAAAGGAAAAAAGGGAGAGAAAAGGAAAAAAAGAAAAAAGGGATAAAAAGAAAAAAGGGGGAGAAAAGTTAAAAAGGGATGGAAGAGAAAAAAGGATCTAAAAGGAAAAAGGGATAGAAAAAAGGATAGAAAAGGAGCAAAGGGGTAGAAAAGAAAAAGGATAGAAAAGAAAAAAGGGGTAAAAAAAAGAAAAAAGGGAGAGAAAGGGAAAAAGGGAGAGAAAAGGAAAAAAGGGAGAGAAAAGGAAAAAAGGGAGAGAAAAGGAAAAAAGGGAGAGAAAAGGAAAAAAGGGAGAGAAATGGAAAAAGGGAGAGAAAAGGAAAAAAGGGAGAGAAAAGGAAAAAGGACAAAAAAAGAAAAAAGGAGAGAAAAGAAAAAAAGGATAAAAAGGATAAAAAAGAAAAAAGGAGAGAAAAGGAAAAAGGATAAAAAGAAAAAAGGCAAAGAAAAGGAAAAGAAAAAAGGATAGAAAAGGGGAAAAAGGGATAGAAAAGGGGAAAGAAAAAAAAAAAAAAGGCTTCACTCCGAATATGATACAGGAGGAGGAAAAGTGAGTGTTGTTGTAGTTGCACAAGGGTGACAGATGCCGGGACGTGCCAAGTCCCTAAGGACAAAAACCCCACACACCTCTTCACTCAGCCCCTCCGCCAAAGCCTTAATTAAAAAAGCTGCTACAAAATATCAGATAATGGATTGCATTTTCAGGCCTCTCTGGAAAACCAGCTCATATGGCAACGTTTCTCCACTGCTGCCAGAGTGGGGAATGCTGCCAGCTTTAGGTTAGGATATCAAAGGCACACATCCTCCCCAGCAGCTCCCAGTTACACCGGAGTCAATCCAGAGCCATCCCGCTCCCGTCCGGGCAGCTGGGGCTGATTTACAGCGGAGCAGGATCAGGCTCTATCCTGGCAAACTGCTGCTGGGATGGTGGTGGAAGGAGAATTTCACTTTCCGCCCC